TTTTTATTTGAGGCTAAAAAATAAATAGTAATTTTATAAAAAAATCACGTGTTAGGTAAATAATAACTCAGAAATAAAAAAGTTTCATACATGGTATGATATGTTAGCTGAAATGTGCTCTAGGTACTTTCACCCCTTGCAAAGAATGTATTTCATATTTCTTGTCAAATTTACAGTAGTAAACCAAAAAACTAACAACTAAGATTTTTCTTTTTGCTGTCACTTCTTTACGTCTCTGTTATATTTCTAATGAGTATATGTCTACATACAAAAATATTTTGTTTTTTATGCCTTCCAAAAAATTTTTATATACACCACTGATTTGACAGATGACAATTCATATATAGAAATGAAAGCAGATATTATAATATAGGCACATGATCCTGAAAGCCAAATTCATGTCATTTTGGGAAGAACATTTAGATTCTTAATACCATATATTTGAATAAAACCTGCTGCTACCTAAACAATTCATTCAAGAACAGAATGTGCACATTCAATAAAATTTAATAAGTTGAACATTTCTCTTCTGCGATGATATATTTGGTTGAAAAAAGTATTTAAATGTGATTTCTGATTTTTTCATGTCTTTTCATTATAGACTGTTTAAAGAATTTTTTTCGATATCAATTTTTTTGAGTTACTTAGAGTACCGTTGCCGAAAACTTAGCCACATCTTTACATATTTAACAATTTTTCCTTTCTCACTTATTCATTTGCCACAGTAGAAAAGACCCTTGCTAATCAAATTACTCACTTCATCTGTGATTTGTCCAGCTTTGAGTTGCAACTCCTGCAATTCAGTCCGAGGTGCACCATTTTCGGCTGCGGGTGCTTGGGCAGGCATCCTTCAAACTGAAATAAAAAAGTTTCAGAAAACAATCTACAAGCGATCTAAGCAAGTTTAGGCTATCAGAAATAGAGTGGGTGGGTATTTCTAACAGGAAGAGATGATGCTTCGCAAACCGGGAATTTTGCAGCGGAATGTACACACGAACACAACTATTCTCCACAAAAATCAATAATATGTACGACCGCGTACTTGCACCAGAAAATTTGTAAGAAAATACTACTGGAGGCTTCTAATGATTTCTCATTTAAGAACTGTTACTGCATCTCATGTTTATAATTAAAGTTTTGACTCATTCCTTGAACAATTTCCTGTTATATGGTACCTTTGATATTGACATTTGATTCGTTAAAAAAAATTATTTGGACTTACCGTATCGAAAAACTCAGCAGGGATCTGTTTTAAGCTTTCCAAACGACAACAAATTCACTACAAACAGTAGATCAAATTTCACATAACACAGTGATGAAAAAGGCCAACAGTGTCGAATTCTTTGACGGAGTGGGTGGGAACCGGGAACTGGGAATGTAAATCCAACAAAATCTTGATCACTACTGTGACGCCAGCGAATGCTTGGTTGCCTATCTCATACTGTCAGTCTATCGGAAAGAAAAACCGACGAAGTTCGATGTTGATGATGGACTTCGAGTATTGCTGAAAAGATTCTCAGAATGGCATGGCACTGAAAATTTTAAAAAAATCTCTAGTTCATCTTCAATTTTTCATGATGATGAATATTATACAGTGCGGCCCATAGATAGCGGATCTTATTCCCTTTGTTAGTTTTCAAGAAAGATTATGAAATACTTCCATTCTTGTTCAAGAACTTACAGTATTTTTTTTATGAAAATGTCACTACTTCGTGTGACAACTACAAACCCAATTTTCAAATTGAAGAAGAGACCAGTTGTATCCTTCTAATACCTTGTTTGAACGGAGGTATTTGTATTTTCATACATTAGGTATTATATTTCCTCGATTGATTTTTCGTTGAGAAAATTTAATGCATATTCAAAAAATCAGGCTATAACTTATGAAATAATACTTAACCTACATGATGGAAAAGCAGATGTATGTTAACTGTTGAATTATATTTCATATTATACAATATTTCAAGTGTTCTGATTTATTCAAATACACTTTAAATTCATATCCTTCTCGGATTAGAAATGAAAAATAATCGAGAAGAGTCCAGTCGAAAAAACTAACTTGACAATCCATATATTGGAAATCATAATTTCGAACTCTATAGTAGTGTAAATGTGCTGGAACACCAATCTGTTGATAAGTGGGCCCGGTTACTTGTGAGAAATTAAGATTGATAAGTAGCCATTCAGCTTATTTGTCAAAATTTCTAATCTTAACACAAATGTGTTGCTGCTGTGTTATTGATATCAGAAATTTCTATATTTGATCATTTGCTTCTTCAAATGTTATCGATCTAATAAAATTATAGTTTTGTTTATGAGAATTTGTAAGATTTGAAGTGTCAACATTTGCCACTAGTAATGTTCGAAGTATATTTGATTTAACCTTCTGATTTTACTTTCTGAGCGATAAGATACGGTTCTTTTTTTAAGGACAAAACACAAGCACTACAGAAAATCCTTGGGACGCTCTAAGAGCGGTGTCTGTGCGAAAGTAGTGATTCATATTGGATTTGAATCGCTATTAAATCCATTTGGAAAAACGTTCTCAGGAAGTTTATTCCACAAAAACGCAGTTCTCCAAATGAAAAAGTTCGTGAACAGTGAAGTTTGAGGTGTACTGAGTTTAACCTCAAAACAATGAGCATCTACAGTCCATCGCGTACTTCTGATATGTACCGCTCTTGGTGGAATCAAATGTGCCAAGTCACTTGAACACTTTCTGTGAAAGTATCTATAGAAGACAGACAAATCTCCAACCTTTCTTCGATATTCCAGACTATCAAATTTGCAAGTGATGTTCGCGTCTCCAATCAGGCGGATGGCTTATATATTGAACCTTCCGGTTCAGATCATATACATTCTATTCGATATTGAAACAGGTACACGACTAGTGTACTAGTGGACTATCGTGACTCAAAAGCTGCTAATTAGAGTTGAGATGAAAATTCCTTTCAATCGTACTGTGCGATTGGATTCACTACAATATATATGGTGATGGGATATATTCATTGACGGAGCAATTCCACGAAGCGCTTACTGGTAGCTTTATGAATCTACTCTAACGACTCACAACAAAGAAATTGAAAAGGCAAAACCAGAGTCCTGGTTTTGCCTTTTCATTTTGAGGGCGCTGGGAATTCGAAAAGGAAGACTGGGAGGTCACCAAGATGGTAATCAAGGCAACGACAGTTGAATGAGCGATTAATTTTCATAAAACTGTGTAGTTGACGGCTAGGGTGGTATATATACCTATAGTAAGCCACAAAGAGCCATACATAATAGGTTTTTCACTGAAAGGACTTGAGAGAATAATTAATGAACACATCAGGAGAGTATGCTTATCATTCTGACAAATCGACTGATATAGCATTAAATAACCTTGTAGAGAAAATCACTCGATCTATCAACAACAAAGGAATTGTGGTGACCGTGACCTAAAAAGACTAATGAATAAACAAAATATTGACATAGCATCCCATATAACAACGGATATCTTATGGATGTACGATGGATATCCATTATATATCCAATTTATATCCAAAGGATATCTCATGGACATCCATAAGATATCCTCAGGCCACCAACTTGGACGTCCATAAGATATCCGTGAAAGACGTCCATAATATATCCGTGAAAGACGTCCATAATATATCCGTGAAAGACGTCCATAATATATCCGAT